TGGCAGACATACTGCTTCCAAGAAAGTGGGGCGGGGGACGCTCTCTTGCGAATTTCCCTTGCCAGCGCCTAACCAATAACTCAGTGTCGCTTAGCTATTTCACACATGCAAGGCTTCTGTAGAAGTGCTCAGTTTCCCTCTGCCCGTTCTGTTCTCACTTCTGAAGACTGGTCACCCACCCCGCGCAATTCCATGGATGCTGAGGGGACGTGCACCATAGCAATGTGACAATAAATAGAAGCTTGTAGGAAGTCATTGCCCACGGTTTGGCTGCCCAAGCTGATCCTGTGGTTGTGCTCATAATAGGTGAGGCCGGTTTCTAGCCCAGGGCTGGTGAACTGCCTCTTTGTTTGGGGCCTGATTGTTCCCTGTGAACAGGTTGGTAAAGTCTCCGGTCTGAGTTTCTGGCAGCATACTACGTTTGTGCCTTCCTTAAGCGACCACACACAGCACATTGCATGGCAGTTTTCTTGGACTGGAAATGTATTTTTATGCATGTGTCTGGTTCTAAGGAGAAAAATGCTGATTTTAAGACTGGTTTTAGTAGCCAAGGAAATACAGTAATACTATCCTGAGAGAGTGATCCGAGGGAAAATCAAAGTCAAAAGGAGAAGGGAGGGATGGGGTGGCAGATAGATACACACACACACACACACACACACACACACACACACACACACACACACAGAGAGAGAGAGAGAGAGAGAGAGAGAGAGAGAGAGAGATGCAGAGACACACATAAAGAGAAACAGAGACAGAGAAAAGAATCTATAGTAGGTCTGGATCCCATCTCTCCTGGATTCCCAGCCTTCACAGCCCATCCCCAGGCTGTCTGTGAGCAGCACCGTGCCCTGAACACATATACACTGGCATCCTCCCAAGCAGCACACTTGGGACTTGTCAGGGACCTGGTCTTGCTTCTCCATTCTACCTGTAGAGCTCCGGATCACAGGCTGCTCAGTATGTTTGATGAGTGAAAGACTTGCCCAAGAAACTTCAGGTCTAATGCCTTCTACACCTGCAGAGGAGCTTTAAAACCTTCCCTCTCCAAACTATATGCCAGAAGAAGGTCCTTTGTTTGAGAACCTTGCTTGTGTTTTGAATGTTTGTTCCAGCGGCACTATGTTCAAGATTATGTAGCCTTTAAGAGATGATGCCTGGGTGGCTTTTTAAGGTCAGACCTGATACTGGTTCCAGCCTGCTTCTTCTGCCTCACAGTCCATGGCTTACCCCCTGCCTGCCTCACCCCTGTTCTCACCACTATGAACTCCAATATGTATGCCTTTCTGTGGAGAGTCTCTGAAAACATGAGCCCCAATAAGCCTTTTTCTTCCCTAAGCTCTATCTATTGAATATGTTGGTCATAGCAACACAAAATTAGTCAATACAATCATTCAAAATGATGGTTTCCTTGCAACACAGAGGAAAACCACAATCAGAACATTGGGGGCACAAAAGGGACAGCTCTTCTGTGACTGAGGACACCTCACTTTTTTGTGCCTCATGCCTGGAGCTTTAACTTTGAAGACCCCAGCCCACACACCTTCTGCCACCTAGAGCAGAGCCATGTGGTTATATGTGCATCCTACTCAGGCAGCCATGATGTCAGCCCTGTTCACAGCTGCGTCTTGTTTGGCCCACAAAGAAGGGGTTCAGAAGATGTGAGTGGATACAACGTCCTGCAGGTACATGAGATGAGCTTGTCTCTGTGCCAGAAAGATACTGGCTTGTTGCCATGTAGAGGGTAGAGTCATTGTATATTTGATTCAGAAATATGAACAAGCCTCAATGGGTCCTGTGTGACTACTTAGATCCCCTTTAAGGCCACCCCCATGGTCTGCCTTTTAGAAATAATTAACCTCACTGACTTAAAGGGAAAGCTAAACTCCTGTGAGAAAGTTCTCACCAGGCAAAGGTCCATGTGACAGATAACTTCTTGTTGCTTTGATTTGATTTGATTTGATTTGGTTTTGGGTTTTTTTTTTCTTTTTTTTTTGGAGGGGGTTTGTCCAAGACAGTTGTTCCATCTAGGTATTTAGGAGTTAGGATTCATGTACCTCTTCCACTCTCTCTAATGCAAGGAGACCTAAAGGGCGTGTCCACAAAGAATGTGAAAACTTGCTTCAGCATAAATTATCAGGAACATCTTGTGTCCTAGTTACTTTTGCATCTCTTAAACAAAATACATGACAGCAACAACTTAAAGGAGAAGAGCTTTGCATGGCTCAGAGTTACACAAGCATCTGTCTGCCATTGTGGGAAAAGCAGCTCACCCCATCCTAGAGGGCCAGAAGTCAGAGAGGTGTCTCTCTCTCCCCTCATTCTATCCAGGCCTCCATACCATGGAGCAGTGCCGCCCATCTTCATAGTGCTCTTCCTTCTTGTCACTCCTCTCTGGCATTGTCCGTCCAGGCACGGTCACACGTGTTCCTTGTTATTCAAGATGACGATGAAAATTAACTCTCATCTGGAAGAAAAATGTTCACTGAATTAAACACTATTTGTGGCTACCAGTGATTGTGTTCATACACTAGCAGTTAATCCCATTGCAGATGGCTAACAAGTACTGATCACTGAACCACACATGAGGAGCACCATCCCTGTCTGCATGGCCTGGGTTGCAGTTGTCAGGAGGGAGAAAATGAAGCAAATGTGCTTGCTTTTCTTCTTCTTGTCAGCTGAGATGTAACATGCTTTCCTGTTCATGTCCCTGTGGTCATCCAGCTACATGGTCACAGGCAACAGCAAGGGAGGCTGGAGGTTGCAAACTGGTAGTCATGTACCAGCTCTGATTGTATCACTGCAGAAGGAGCAGATGAGGTTTGATAGGCAGCTAAGGACTTGAGTGTTTACGATGGCTGAGGTACTTGGAGCGTGTTACAAACTTAATTCTATAAAATACAACTGAATTCTGAAGAACTGGCCAGCAGGAGACTCTCCTGAGACACAGTGGACTTCTAGCCTATTTCCTCTTCTCAATAGTTCCTGTCCCTTGGGGGCTCTCCTGTTACCACCATAGGCAGCACCCCTCATGGTTAGGGCTGCTGTTGCCAGAGTAGGGCACTTTTTATCAACTCGTCTCTGTATCCAAGAACATCTCATTCAGTGTTTGTTTATTTGTTTGTTTGGGTGAGTGGTCCTGTAATGATTCATGGGAGAAAATTACAGATCAACATACTTATTAAACCAATGAAGAATACAAGGTATCTTTTATTTTGTACAGTGGCTGAGAGTGGGCTAGCCCTCAGAAAGACTCTTGGTACTGAAGCTTAAGGGGTACAGCATTTATTACAGGCAAAACCCACAACCTTATCAGTGTCAGATGAAGTTTAGAATAACCTTTTGACATTTGTTTTGACAACATAGTAGTTATTTCAGTCACGACATGACAATTTACTTTGAGTTATACCTTTATCAGCTATTTTAGTTTATATAAATATTGTTTATTTCAGTTAATACATCTGGACCATGGTCAGGGTCATGAAAAATCCAAGTATGCTGCCAAGGCAGACATGGCTGTAGAGGGCTGAGAAGTGTCTAGACATAAGCAACGAGGAATCAGGACAAGATGGTGTCACTGTAGTCACTTCAATACTAGGGGTTGAAACTAGAGTCTTATTGTGCTAGTCAAATACTCTACCACTGAACTATACCCCACCTTCCTTTAAAAACTTTTCATGGCAGGCTGGCCTCGAACTTGTGGTCCACCTTCCTCCATCTCATTCATAGTTGGGATGAAAAGCATGAGCCACTAGGCCTGGTAATTAAATCTCTTAAAAGGAATTTTATCTTTAGCTGTTTCCACAAACTTGTTATGCAAGAAACGACACAACCTTTAACAGCTCTCTGTGCTTCAGCAAGGCTGGGATAACTCTACCAGTTTTTTTTTTGGGGGGGGCATGGTCTTGGATTCTGACTGTGGATTGGCTTAGGTGGCTCTGAGTGTCACTTTGTCATAATCATCAGACTGGCAAGAGCCATAGAGACAGAGAGACAGAGATAGAACCAGTCAAGAATACTGAAGACCATACACTGACATTTCTACCCTGTGTCTTTGGGAGTCACATGCAAGCCACATGTGTGAGCCCCAGTTAAGGTATGGGAAAGTACAGATCACTCATCATGCAGAGAAGTCAAGGATGAGGCTAATGCTTCAGTTTATGGCAGTGCAGAGAGGCAAAGGCACAATAACACACAGCACAATAAGCTAGTAATGGGAGCATGTTTATTCACCTTTGACTTAGCATAACTTAAGGGGACACCTAGCATTACTGTTGGGGACATCTTGGCATCTCTGTGGGAGATGATTAGGGCTACAAGCCTGCAGAACCTTATCTCTACTACCAGGTGACATTTCCCAGGGAATTTAATAGTTGTTTCATGCACTAGACTTCTATTCTCTATAAAATATATGGTATATGTCTTTATAGATACATAATATTTCAGGCCAGTTTATGCCTTATAGTGTTCTATTTCAAGAAAGCATGACATGATTTGAAGGGAGAATCATGGTTTAGAAGGTATAGTTTAATCAGGCCCATTTGTATGCTGGGAAGAAACACCCACTTAAGCTAGCTCAACAAAGTAGGATGTGATGAGTTATGAGACCACGGTGGGCACCAGGGGAAATCCAAGGGTCATTCATCTGAACTTCACAGTGACTGCGGTGACCACTGGCCTCCCATACACATGCCACACAAAGTGCTACCTCCTTTGTATGACTGTTGCAGTCTGCTGTCTGTGACTGACTTCTGTGTCCACTATGCATTCCCATTCTCATGTAACTTTAGTCCACTTCCCAGCCCATCATAGCCACCCCTGCTTCTTCTATCAGATGACAGCTTTCATGTCACCTCTTAACATCAGCCTCTGCTGCAAACTGCCTCTTTCTCAGTTCCTAAATTCCCAGTCCCTAAGAGAAACATGATCTGTCTGCATTGGCCGCATCACATAGGGTATAGGTTCCTCAAGACCTTATATATTGATCTTCATTCCACTACCCAGCTCTGATACCTGCTCAGGGTTTATGAATACATGCATATGGGGCAGTGGCCACCTTGCAGGCTCTGGGTAGGGCTGTATTCCTGTGCAAGGGTGTGGCAGGAACCCAGGGATCTCATACACATATCTCTCCTCCCTAGACCCTGAAGCATGTTGTCTTGAGTCTGGTATTCCATGACTTTTGGTGTGGTGAGTTTCAGACAGTTCTTCTCCATGGGTATTATTTTCTCATATGAACTTCAAGTTGTGGTAAACATTTTACTGTAAAACAAGCCCTGTTTATTATATCCCTACTTTAATTTACCCAGGACACTAGAACTGTTATGAGTGTCTAACCAGTTGAATAACTTGCATCCTCACAGAGAATAGGTGTGTCTCAGGCCAATTCCATTTTTAAAAAGGTACATTTTAATTAGCCTTTTTATCAGGGTTTGGGGATAAACGTATGTTTTTAGCTGGACTTCTCCAAACAGAGAAAATAACTCACATATCCACACAACTGCCTGTGGAAGATACCATGCTGAAAGTCTCTGTGCAAGTTTAGGTGACTAGTTTTTTATTTTGTTTGTTGTTTCCCCTTTTATTGTGACCAGTTATCAGTTGGAGATAACTTCTAGGTTAAGGATGGAGCTCCTATCCATCTCCCCTCTCAGTGCTGGGACCTTAAGGGGTTAGTTTTACTAAATCAATGGAGCCTACTAAAGAGGATGATGACCTTAAGCTGATACCAGTCATTCATACACTTGTTGCTAATAAAGAGTTTGCTTGTCAGTCTTACTACAGGAAGATGCTCCAAAATGCCCCAGGCTCAGCAGGGTATGACGCAGAGAAGGGGGACAGTAGGATCAGAGACAGTAGGCTGTGGGCTTGTGGGTCAATCTTACCTGGAATCCCATTCACCTTTGCCCTTTAGGAGATATGATGTGACCTCAGGCCCATCACTGAGTTTTTAGGTTTTTAATCTGTAAATGAGCTAATAACCCTCCTCCCACCCCCCATGGTATCAGGAGTTAGTGGATAGCTTCTGTATCTACTAACAGACAGCTGCTTAGTTTTTATAATTAACAGTAGAGCACTATTTCCAGGGCAAGCTGATTTCTGTGTTAGGGTGTGTTTCAAGATGACATAATTCCTTTTTCAATATCTATCCCATTGTTAAATGCTATCTAGGTCTCCCGAGGAAGTGACTATACAAGCAATAATTGCCATTTGAGTCTGTTACATAGAAGGGGCTGTTGTGGTTATATGTATGTGCTTATGTAATCTTTACAGCTATCCTTAGAGGTCAGAGTTATTCATCCCATTTTATAAATGAGGAAACTGAGGCTCAGAAAGGTTAAATGGCTTGTCCATTACCTAGAGAGCAATCAGCAGATCCAAGAGCCAACCTCAGCTCCATCTGCTCCCCAGCCTCTGAGCGTGAGTGATCTGGCAAAAACCAGCTCCTTTGTAGCTTGTTTGGGAGTTGGCAAATTTCACCACCCAGAAGACATAAAAAGAATTATGAAAGATAATTTTAGAAGTGATATGGGGGTAATTTTTAGAAGCCATTGAGGTAAATTTTGCCACAAACCCCTCCATTTGCTTATTTTGCACTGTTCTAAACACACACACGCGCAAGCACAATGCCTCCCTCAGTTTGTGTGCATCACCTCCCAACTTGTATGCAGTAGTAGGTGGAAGAGGTGGGAACAGAAAATTTTGCTTTTTAGAGAATAACAGATTCATAGTTTTGGCGACAATAAAGATGGCCAGAATCCCAAAATACAATCCAAAGGGAAAGATATGTTTCTGAGCTTCATCAACTTCAGAATCGTACCCTACAATCCCCCTGAGTTCTGGACAGTCCTCATATATCATTAATTAACTCCCATGGTCTTCTGGTTACCAGACAGATTGAAGGGGGTGATTACCTGGAACCATGCTTATACTTCTCCTAAGCCAGCTTTCTCAGCCTTGACATTGTGCATAGTTGGAGCTGGATAGTTCTTTGTGGTGGCAGTTGTCTATGCATTGTAGGATTTAGGCAGCAGCCCAGCCTCTACTCACTGGAAGCCAACAGCCCCCAGAGGTTATAATCATCAGAAGCTCTTCAAGTATTGTCAGGTGTCTCCAGTTGAAACCAATTACTCTCTAGCTACTCGTCCTCCTTAACTACAACTTCACTGAGTGCTCCTGGTGTCCACCCTTGGACTTGTCCAGGGTTTGAGAGTGCACCCCTCTCATAGCTGAACAAGCCTAAATTGAAAAAGCTATTCCTCTGAGGGAATCTTCTAGAGATCTCTGTGTCTCTCCATACTCTAATTCATAGGCCTATTCTGCCCTTCCCTCCTCTCCTTACAGCAGAGGCTTAAGTACTTACAAATGTTGAATGCCTCCGTTCTTCTGTGGACTAGATAC